ATTTTAAAATGCTTAGAATGGTGCCTGATATACAGTAAGTATGTAAGAAGTGGTAGCTATTATGATTATTGTTTATTCTTAGTGAATGACAAGTGTCCCCTTGAACTTGCTCTTATAACTCTCTCTGGATTAATGTCCACAATTAAAGCTTGCTAATCCTAATGCCATCTGCAGCTCTCTTCAGGCCCTGGGGTTTTGGCTTCAAGTGAAGTGTCTTTTCAATTCTTATATCAATACGATCTGGTCTATTTCATAAAAGTCTGCCTAATATTCCGGTTAAGAATCAGCTTTTCACCTTTAGTCTTAAAGGAAGCAGAGATGGGTCTCAGATCTTTGTTGAAATTCTGCAATATGCAATTTAAAGTTAGATTGACCTTCAAGCTGACAAAGTAAAATAAACAGTTTTATAAATGAAAATGGCTAATCTGAAATAGATCACAGCTAAGAACTTCATTTTTTATTCATTCTCTTCATACAAGGTTGATATCATACAAGTGAACATCTAATATTGTACTTCATTGTGGGCTCACTGAAGATGCAGTTAGAGGAAATTAAGGGCACAATGAATTGGCAGAAACCACAGGCTGTCTATAGTCCCTATTTTGAGAGTTATTATATTTAAATGTAGGTATGCTTAATTTAAAAAATAGTTGCTACATAAAATTTTACTGTTGGATTTTTTTTTCTCCTGAACTATTTTGATTTCCTAGAAATCAACTTATTTTGAAATTTTTATAATATATGTGGGAGAGACTCACACACTTCAGGAAAACCTTACAGAAGATTAGTTGCTTCAAACGTTATCCCTTAAAGAGTATTCTGTAACAATTTTAATTTTTTTCTGGAAAGAATAAATATGAATTAAGAGATTGAATATTTACCAGAGAATATCTTGAAAGAAAAAAATAAAATTTTACAATAACATGAGAAATAAATCACAGGATTCAAACAGCTCACAGTTGTCTGACAGCAAAATCCAGTGCCTTTTAGACTTAAAAGAGAAGCTTGAAGAGTAGTCAAAGGGCCTGTGCTTGCTGAGCAGTGTGGGCAATTGACCCTTGTTCTGGTTCTGCAACTTTGAGTTCAGGGAAGACCATGGATTAGCAGGCAAAGCCTGAGGGTGATAAATAAGCACTGTGCTCACGCCTGACTGGACTGTGCTGAACAGTGTAGTCATATTATATATGGTCCGACCTGAAGATTGATGGCCTAGAAGAGGTGGTCCCCCGCACGTGTCTAGAGCAGCCTCTGTGGAACTCCTTGGGTAAGCACACACACAGGGAGCCAAGCTTCTTCGAGGGCAGTGGAAAGCTTCTCTGGTTGATGTTGTCATCTTGGATCTTGATTGTGGGTTCAGATTCTTACAACTCCAATTGTCCTGGAAAGCACTATCTCTTTGTAGTGATTTTCTTCTTATAACTTAAAAAAGCAATCCTCCTTGGTTTACTCAGCAGTATCCATGTCTAGTCTTTCCATCAAGCTGAATGTATCAACTTTTTTTTAGTCTGATAGTTTTAAGACTTTACATGTAATCAGTGTAAAAGTTTATTGAATTATGCACAATTTAAGGTGAAATATGTTCAAGTGATGTACCATATATGCCTAGCACTATTAAAAGCATATCTAAGTAAATTAAATTCAAAAGTCCTAACAATCAAGAAAATAGGGGGAGATTCCAGAACTTATAAATAATCTAGAGATTTATTCCAGTTACTAACCTACATTCATGTATAAAACTCCTGCCTTCTTATATATAATCTCAGTATCCCTGGGACACTAGGTTTGTGTGATGTATTGTTTTTTCTTTCCACTTTTTGTGTCAACTTTCCAAAAGTGATACAACCGAAATATCATCATTGATTTAAATCTCTCTGGAGACACCCCATGCCACTGATTGTCTCTTCCCCCCAATTCTCCTCTGCAGAAATTTGGTGTCCAGATGTTTCAGAATCCAGATGGCCTATGAATCCTCTATCACCCAGAAAGGAGGAAAATGTGCATGAAAGTGGAACATTTAAAAGAAAAAAATCATTTAGCACTGGCTGTATAATGACAACATGCAGGGCTCAAGAAAAAGCTTCGGTTCCTAAAGCAGCAACTTAATAAAGACATGTTATAGGCCCTATCAGCAAGCCAAATTTCAGCCTTGCCTCTCCTTCCCATCACCAGTAAAAGGCTTGCAGAGGTCCACACTCTTTAAAGGGCAGACAGCATGGAAGAACTATCATGTACAATTTAAAGTAGCAGCTAAAATTGGAATGGTCACAAGAAAGCCTGTTTCTTTGCAATTAAATTGACAAGCTGTCTATGATTACCCTAGGGAACTTGGCAGCTGAGTGGTAAAAAGACTGTGAGTGTTGAAAGGTCTAACACAACTTACTAGGTGGACAAAGACCACATCTGCTTAATATACTGATTGGGAGAGTTGTGGAATGTACTTGGCTAAATTAGCCAAGGAGAGATACTAGTGATACTTTTTTTTCCTCTAAGACCCTCTGCTCAAAATCCATTTTAGAAATTACCCACAAATATTTGGAAGCATGCATGAAAAGAATAGTTTAGCGCAAGGCTGATGTTATTTAGCATGAGCCTATCATTACAAATCAGCCAAAGAACTGAGCCTTGTACAAAGAAATAATTTAAAAAACTCTTCCGTCAAATTATGTGACATTTATATATACTTGATATAAAAAGTGGGTATCTGAGTGAAGATTTATAGTGATAATCAACTAAAGAGTTGAAGGCAATGAATGATTTAATACAAAATACTAGGCAAAAATTACATGGGATTTTTCACTGTTGGTGATCTCTTGAATTGGGCAAAGCTGAAATTTGATAGTAAGGGAGAACACAATTAACATTTCTGGTGGTGGAAATTTGTGGAGATTAACATATCCACTTCAGCTTTGTCTTCTTAATTTTAGTGCCTTCCTTAAGATGGCAACTGCACATAAAAAGTGAAGTCTTCTTTGATACATTGACAATACTCTACACAAAATGAAGGAATGATGATTGTCTTTTTGTCTATTTCTTCTTTCTGAAGGCTGAGGACCATTTATTTCAGCAATCTTGGAAAATAATTTGTGAGCACTTCCAAAGTAGGATTACCCTAAGCGGGATTTCTGAAGTAGAAGTGTATTATTGACTACCTTGGCTTTCATTTCAAACCAGAGGTTTTCTAATTAGCTGACCAACATTGACTAGTCTTTGAGACTGTGTGAAACTTCAACAAAATTCTTCAAAGCTCCAGATCATTCAAAGGCTCAGTGATGATAACATTAGATAAAGATTTCTTAATACTAATTTTGGATTAATGAATAAGAATGCCTTATTTTAGCATAACACATTACATTTTACAAAGTGATTCTAGATCAAATGCTTTTCCTTCCCCATAACAACCCAGTGGAGTAGATTTTTGTCACCCCCATTTTAAAGATGAAGGAAGGTAGAACTCGGAAAGGTTAAGTGAGTGACTTGCCTAAGGTCACATAGTAATTGCCAGAGCTGAGTCTTTGCACTACAATCAAAAGAAGTCTGGGAGCAGGGCATTAATGTGGAGCATAGCAGGAGATGTTTAAAATAAGTCCTTCATTTGCAAAACCTAAGTCAACACATTTGTGTAAATTGAACATTCAAACTTCCCTTTTGGGATAACTGGTGAGATGATACACGTCTGCTGATGCCTTCAGCTAGACTCCTAAGAATCTGAATCTAATTATTGAAGAAAAAAAATACTTGTACTCTTTCCTCCTCTCATGTTGAAGGTTATACACTTATGTACTCATTACTTGCCTTTTCTAAGAAAATGTACATTTGGTAAGAGGCTGCTGTAACATTGCTTTTTCCAAATGCCCCTACTGCTAACAGCTAGTCCGGTACTTAGTACAAAAGTAGGACTGAATAAATGCTTTTTGACACTAATTATGATTTCTGACAGACAGTAACCTGATCGTGCTCCAAAATGATAGTTTGAGATTCATCCAACTTTTGATTATCCATGGAAATAAGGACTAGAAATAGCATGGATAATTGAAATCCACAAACACAAACTCTTTTTATAAATAGTTTCAATCTTCTCCCTCAGCAAATCTTTAACTATAGCTAATAACATAATTAGGTTGACTGGTTTGAGGTTTATCTTCTGTTCCCCTGGTTTAGTTGAGGTACAGCTGAGTGGAAAAATGGCTTAAGACATAGGTAAGAGAATTAACAATAATCAAGAGTTGATGGAAGTCAAACATCTTTTCGTCTTGTTTTGACAACTGTGATATGTATGTGTGGTGTTTAATAAATGCTTTTTAATGAGACAGATACATGGTGATAAAAATATATTGTTCACCTCACCCTTGTTTTATTCTTGCTGGTCATAGCACAATCCCGAGATTGCTTTGCTACTTTCATACCTGTCTTATGTATTCAAGCTACTAAAGTATTATTTAGTGCTATTCATTCATTTCTTTTAAATCAACCAAGAAAT